GTGAAGTAGCTGCACTTGCATGACTTTGTTTCGATTTGAAGGATGATATAAGGCAATGAAATTATAAAATCTGGAGATAGAAAATCTTAATCCTCGCAAATGGCGATATATGATAAATTTGAATGGACCTTTTACTATAATCTGGGATATTTATGGTACTCTTGTAAGACCGCTGTCATTAACTTCTATCAGGTGAGCTGTCAGCTTACTATTTCAAGTAGCAGAAAAATATGTCTTAAAAATATTTTAATAATATATCTTTAAGCACGTTAGAGATTCTTAAGGGGAATTTCTTAAAGAAGTTTAGATATGAGCAAACAAACAATCGATTGGCTGCGAGATGCCTGTGTACAGTAGCTAAATATATATAATACACCGCACAATGTATAATTTTGAACTTTCCCTTTGATAATACAAAGTTAGCTTCTTTCTAATTTGTATACAGAGTTAAACCCATAATATGCTTTACGTTTTACTGGGAATTTTCTCAAGAAACTGCCTTAAAATAATATTATATATCTACAGTATAAAAAATAATCAGTGGTCTAACGCATTTGAAAAGTTCTGGAGGTAATCCCCTATAACAGGCGATACTGTGCAAATTGGCGGCAATGCATTTTTGTCAGACAAACAGCGCCATTTGCTTATAAGTGGCAAAAGACCGAAATCATTCTTAATAGTAATTTTAGTTAGTAACGTAACATTCAGTGTGTCTACATTACGTCAAGCATATTAGAATCTATCAAAATTTAGTTCAGAAATTATAGACAGCAAATTGACGTGAAATTATATTTGATGTATTTGTATATGTTTTTTTATAAGAATTGTTAACATTACTAATTGTTTTAATGCTTAATTCAATCAACATTTATTCTCTTAGGTTTTTTAAATTTTGCATGCTTAATTGTGGTGAAAAATGTGATCCTATAGTTAACATTTATATACTTACCGTCATCATCTTGTCAGCTCTTAACTATCCACTGCTGAACATAAGCTTCCTCATAGGGAAGTTTTGCCAGTAGTTGATATGCTTAGCACGCGGATTGGCTACCACAGTTAGACTTTACAAATGTTTTAAAAGGGACGCTGCTGCCCATCCCTCACCCTTCCTTAGTGGCCTCTTACGACACCCACGGGAAAGAATAGGGTGGCCTTTTCTATGCCCGGATCACACAGAACTTACCATGTTTATTGTAAATAAATTTTCATCCATTCATTCGAAAAGTACTGGCTGTTATAGAAAAGAACGGGCAAGAAGTAATTAAAGATCGTTTATGATCAATGTCCTAATAGCAACTTTTTTATTTTTACAATTAGACTTTTTGGTTTTTTAAATTAGGACTGTACTCTCGTTTGCTCTCATTTCTTCTAATACAATTGTACACCTAAATAAACATCACTATTTGAATTTACTAGTAGAATACTGTAATACAAAGCGTTCCCCAAACGTGTTATCTACAATTAACAAATAGTCATATTAATTAACTACACAATCCTTTGAACTAGGCAATCCTTGGTCTAATGATAATTTCCACCGGCATTTCCCGATGGGCTCTAAACTATTATTAATATAGTCAGATTGGGTGGACTAATCTAGTCGTTATCTCTGGAAGTCCCGCATGGGACTCGCTGTAAATGGATAGGGCATTATAAGTCCCTTTGGCCTTCTATTGAGTTCGAGATCGCCCCTAGAGTCTTTCAGACGTACATTATGTAAATTGTACTTAGCCATATTTTTTTTTAAAGTATCACATTTTCTTTATGCTCTCCAAAGATGATTTTTTAAGTGATATAATTTGAAAACGGTTTTAAATTTCTCTAAGTGCCCGTCGTTATAAAATTTGCATACAAATAAAATTGGGATGGGTAATTAAGTCAAGGTTTTTTCCATTTAAAATGAGCCGTCAAGAAGAGAACGTTACTTGGTCATTTAATTGCTTCACTCCATTTTTTTGCTTCTTTTAATTTTTTTTTTTGCTATTTAAAAATGGAAATTTAATAAACGACTGAATGAATTTTCCAATAAGTTTATAATACTTTTTTTTAAATATGTTATACACTTTTACTTTATAATATTGTGAATAGATTCTGTTAATTACTTTTGCAAGCGGTAAAGTTTATTCCCCTATTGGTCCCATTTTAATTTTCCGGGAATTAAAGCTGTTTTTTTTTGCATAATTAAAAAATGCTTGTTGTGGAGTACAATTTAAATATACCATAGAATGGAACACCCCTTCTTTTCCTATGGGTACCATAAGAGGTGACTAGGAGTATTTATATTAATTGGTTTTCCTATATCTAAATTCCACGTGTACGAAGATGCCTGCAAAATGTTAACGTTTTCTAAATACTTAGGACTATTGTAGAAAAATATTGTTCAATTCTAAATTATTTCCAGTACGTACGAGTATATCCATTGTTATTTGAGTAGTACTACAGCAATATAACCGAAAAGCAATGCCACGATATTACGTACAAATATAACCCGTAGGTATACCACAGAGCACAGCTTCGCTGCTCAGACCGCAACACGCCGGTCTTAATTACATACACGCACAGTATGTTAGCTCTGTGAAAACTTTGCTGGCTTGCTTCATAACTCCGCATACGTTCGTGTTTATTAAGGACCTGAGTAGGGTTGGCATCTGGTAAATCATAAAGTGGACAAAGACAAGGGTTGTCAACATGAGATTTTATTTATTTTTTAACAATTTTTTATTCTCTATTTCATCAATTTTCGTGTTTCTACCGTGAAGCAGTTGTGTTTGCATGGCTGTGTTTTGGTTTGAAGGATGGGATATAGCGTGAATTTACAGGGTACAAAGGAATAATACCTGAGTCCTCAGGAATGGCAACGCATGGCGGGTATCATGGGCGAAACAGTATACTCTGTTATGTTCATGGTACTGCTCATGTCTATAGGCGACGGTTACCACTTTCCATCAGGTAGGCCGTCAGCTTGTTTGCCGTTCTAAGCTGTATAAAAAAAAAAACAGTATACTCTCTTATGTCCATGGTACTGCTCATGTCTATAGGCGACGGTTACCACTTTCCATCAGGTGGGCCATCAGCTTGTTTGCCATTCTAAATTGCATAAAAAAATGTACATAGATGAAAAGGGACAAATCACCTTTAGATGCCAAGCGTAAACCTTTCACGAAGCCGCCATTGAAATTTTCTATCAAACGTAGCACGGTAAGGTTATTTAAACATAATAAATAAATTTAACACGTCAAAAGGCCCTAATTAAATTGAATTAAGTGTGTTGAGCGCTTCCTTTCATTTAGGTAGTACAGCGCTTCTCAAAGTTTTGCGAAATATTGTTTTACTATAATACATCCAACACATTTAATGTATATCAATCTTTTATTGTATCGCAATTTATTACCAGTTATCGATTAGTCACTATTGATGATAATATAATTACTGTGGATAAAAATTTCCAAAATTGTAATACATGCAATACAAAATTGTATTGAAATCTAACAACTACCAGTTTTACTTGCGTGTAATTAGATCGTGAAAGTTCGACTAGTTTCGGGACCATTCGGGACTCTAAATGTGAGCGGCTGTGATACAATCGCGACCCAGACTGCGCTTTTGGCTCCTTGAGTGTGAGCTGTAGATGAAGAGAAAGACTACGAAGGCCAGCCATTCATACATCATCTTTATTATTTGTGACGGTCAGCTGATGCTCAGCTGCTCACATTTAGAGTCCCGAATGGTCCCGAAACTAGTTACACATAAGTCAAGCAAAAAAGTTAGTTATTACATTAAATTTAACGTGTACTTACAAATATTTTAATAATAAAATATAAAGTTGTTAGTAAAATATTATTAAGAATATTTTTTTTTACAAAAGATTTTCTGCGTTTTACATTTTAACGAAATCAATAATGACTTAATTAGCTTACAAATTTTTAATTTAGTAGTTTTGCATAAAAAAATAAGCGTCAAATATCCTTATTATTTTTAAGAACAAAGACACGACTATCGTTTTTATTTACCCTTGGTTTGTATCACTTTGAGTACCACTGGTGTTGACTAATGAAATAATTACCGTGCAATCAAAGTCACTGGCATTGATGTGTAAAAATCAGAGGATACATAATCCCATACAAATGGTACACTTCTAACTGTCCCTCGTTTAAATTAAGAAAATAAATAATTATTATAGGACATGAAAATGAGTGGAGGCAAATATTTTATTATATATTATATATATATACCAGACACTTTATTTTATATATATATATATATATATATATATATATATATATATATATATATATATATATATATATATATATATATATATATATATTATATACCAGAGAGAGACTTAACCTTACGATATTGATATTAAGGTTCTATTTTGTAAGCGAAGGAATATTTTTCACCACAGGGAGACTACAAAAGTCATTTCCTTGAGCACCTCTGTCCCGTCCGTGTTTCTACCGTGAAGTAGTTGTAATCGAATGGATATGTTTCGGTTTGAAGGGTTGGATATGGCAGCGAATTTACAGGGTACAGAGGAATAACACCTGAGCCCTCAGGAATGGCAACGCATGGAGAGTATCACGGGCGAAACAGTATACTCTGTTATGTCCATGGTACTGCTCATGTCTATAGGCGACGGTTACCACTTTCCATCAGGTGGGCCGTCAGCTTGTTTGCCATTCTAAGTTGTATAAATAAAGAATATAATCGAATATAATCACATTTAAAACATAAAGATCTTACTTTAAATATTTTTCTTGTAAAAATTATATTTAGATAGATAACACTAATAAAATTATTTGTAATTATTATTATTATATGTAAATAATACTTGTAATACAAATACCAATTTAAAATTATTTTTATAATACTTTGTCACTTTATCTTTTTAAAATTCTTGTTGATCTCTTATATTGTCACTGACTGTTTTGTTTGGAGTTATTATTTATTCATTTATTTAACAAGGAAAAAATTATTAATTAATACATTATTTATTACAGGTACAAGGTGAAGATGTGAGTATCATTTGGACTAGAATGTAAGGTAAACAATACTAAGATATTAAGAATTTCATGAAAAAAAGTCTGAAAAGCATGAGGATGGATAGTTTCTGAAAACAAAAAACTACAAATTTATTAACGTAAGTAAGTAAATAAGTCAAAAATTCCTTAAATAAAAAACGTATTTTATAAAATTAAAGTATTTCAATAGTTTTTTAATACTCAGTATGAAATAACGATATTATCATTATAAAAAGACAACATTTCTTAATATAAAGAAAATAAAAAAAAAAATAGAAAATAAGAAACAATATAATTTTTTCTACACAATCTAAAAATCTTTAAAACAAACGTTATAAATAGAAAATATTAAAATAAATAATACATATAAATTTGCGCAATATTTCAATAGCTTCCCCACTCTTTTGTCATCTAATTCGCTCGTTTACTTTGGTTTAGTAGATGTAGATTTATTTATTTAACTTAATACTCCCATATTCCACTCGGTGTTTAAATTCGCTTAGAGATTAAGGAGGGCCTTTTCTGTGAATACAAGTATATGAATTTCATCGTTTATTGTTAATGTGGTACGCATTTAAATCCTAGCTTAAAGCAGTTATAATTAGTGACAATGTATGATTAGATTGTCTTGATTATAGTACATTACCGCAGCGGCCAGCAACTGAGGCATTGATGGACGAACGTACAAATGTGGGCCGAGGTGTAGCCGAGGCACACATACGTGAGTCCATCAATGCCTAGTTGTGGCCAAGGCTTGTATACAATGCGCGGAAATCAAAAACACAATTTTACTTTTTAAATTCAATAACGAATAACGAACAATAATAATTTTTCACGCGCCATAATGTTCTTTTGTTTTTTTTTCAATAAACAGCTTTCTATTTGCAAGCCAGTTCAAAATTTAAATAAAACCATGTATTAGTTACCGTCTTGGTAGCCATATTTCGAAGTAAAAGGTCATTCCATTTTTAAATTACAGGACAGATATGAGTTTACATAGTAATTTATCTGGCCACAAAACACGACAGATATGGATTTTCATACAACTTTTGCCGGCCGCTGCCCGCATGTATCTGGCCAGTACGGCAATTTTGATTTATCTCGAAGAAGATTGTCAAAATAATGCTCACATTTCCAAGCATGTTTGAGAAAATGTAGCATATATACATGTATCGTTATCATCGTCATTTCAGGCATTATCCATCTACTGCTCTCTAGGCCTCCCTCATAGATTGCCATGAGAAATGGTCCTGAGCCACCTGCATCCACTGACTCCCTGCATTGTATTTGAAATCTCCACCTAATGGGGAGTTCTTACACTGCGCCACTCATAAATTTTTCTTCCCCATCGGTTATCGGTTCTTCGAGCTATGTAACAAGCCCATTGCCACTTTAGCTTTTTTTTTTTTTTTTTTTTATAGAACTTAGAATGGCAAACAAGCTGACGGCCCACCTGATGGAAAGTGGTAACCGTCGCCTATAGACATGAGCAGTACCATGGACATAACAGAGTATACTGTTTCGCCCATGATACCCCCCATGCGTTGCCATTCCTGAGGACTCAGGTGTTATTCCTCTGTACCCAGTAAATTCACGCCATATCCCACCCTTCAAACCGAAACACAGCCATGCAAACACAACTGCTTCACGGTTGAAACACGAATGGGACAGAGGTACCCAAGCAATCGACTTTTGTACAAAGTCTCCCTCTGGTTAGCTTGCTTATCCTTCGGGTTATGTCGGTTACTTTTGTTCTTTTGCGGATATCCTCGTTGCGTAATATACATGTATATTATATATATTGATATTATTACTAGCTGTTCTCACAATACTGTTTACGTGACTTGCATATATTAATACTCTAGAACAATATACCTATGTTTTTCTCTATTCCAAATAGAGCTTGTATTCCAAATTTCGTTGCGATTGGTTGAGCCGTTAAAGTGCTAAGTGTGTATAGTGTGTATGTGTGTATATATGTGTATGTATGTGTATGTATATGTATGTATATATATATATATATATATATATATATATATATATATATATATATTTATATTTATATATTTTTTTTTTGTTTTTCACCTTCTCGACTTATGTCGGCTTAAAAACATACCCCGTCCTGTAACCCACAGGAAAAAAGGTACGTATGCCCCAGTTTTATTTTTATGTCCGTCTTCTACCTCGCCTTCTCTTTAGATTGTATACTGAATTTGTGAGTGATTGTGTGTGTGTGTGTATTTATATATATAATAATGAGTAGGGATAATTTTTATATTATTATATGTATTACATCTCCCATATCTAGTACTAACAAAATTTTTTATCATGCCTCCTACCAAATTGTTTATAATTACTCCTCTCCATCCAAAGGTTGGCTGGAAGAGATCGCTCTTAGCGATAAGGTCGCCCATTGTTTTCTCATTGTGATTATTTCTTGTAATTATTTATATTTATAATAAGTTTACTATTGTAATCTTTTGGAGGAAACAATAAAGAGTATCTATCTATCTAAGTCGAAATAAACTCATTTAAATCTTTTGTAATATTAATCATTGTCATCATCATCATTATATCAGCCGTTAACTATCCACTGCTGAACATAGGCCTTCCATATAAAGAGAGGTTTTGTCAGAAATTGCCACACTTGGTATGTGGGTTGTTTTTGCGCTTGCGCTATCGCTATACACCGGCGGGGCACCAGTGAAGGATGATAGGTGAAGATGAAGCAGGTCAGTTAGCCCATCGTGACGAATTCAACAAGAATTGTTTTCGATGGTATCCAGAGGGAACCACGTGGAGGTCGACCTAATAGGGCATATTACTAGCAAATGGGGCTGTCAAACTTCATTGCTAACAATTTCCCTTTCCCCCCGCAGGCGGGTTGTTAACCACAGTTAAACGTTAGTGATGTTTTAAGAGGGTCACTGTTGCCCATCCCTAGAATATTAGGTTCCGTTAGTCGCCTCCTACGACACCCACGGGAAAGAATGGGGTAGGCTATTCTATACCAAGAGCGCACGATACCATTAATGTTAATATTATTTTATAATTATGAATTTATTATTACCTATTCATTTGAGACATTATTGTTTCAAATAATAGACATACTAAGATTAATTATTATACCAAGTATATACATATGTATATAAAAACCAGACTATGTATATAATTCTTGTTTTGATACCATTTTCCTTTCAGCCATGCTATATATTTCTACTGAAGTTCAATCAAATATATTTAGTCTAATATAGTAGAATCCACGAAAATGTCACAGAGAACGATACCCCTTCACTCTTATTAAGGATAATGGAGGAACCCACTACAAAGTCTATCTATTTTCCACGTTTATCAAACAGAAATAGTAGTAGCCTATCTGAAGAGCAGTTTAAACCTATTACTATACTATTACGAACCCTACTTCCTACTAATCCTAAGTTCTTATCTTCTTATCTAAGCGGCAGCTATAAACATTTTCCCAAAGGTCCCTCGTAATGAAAATTGGTTCAGGTATGTCCCTCACTCATTCGCTTGGTCGGACACCCGTTCAATGGAATGAAATCGAATAAAACAGACGGGCGCTTCTGTACGATGAAATAAGTAACTGGAATAGACTGAACATGTATTATTGGCTGGATTAATGAATTAGTTGAATTTCTTATCCAATTCGGAATGATCAGCTCTCATCCATTTGATTAAAAAATGGCGACTGTAACTCACAATCATACATCACAGAATATACTGAGAATACTCATGATACTGTTTTTTTTATACAAACTTAGAATGGCAAACAAGCGGACGGCCCACCTGATGGAAAGTGGTAACCGTCGCCTATAGACATGAGCAGTACCATGGACATAACAGACTGTTTCGCCCATGCCATTTCTGAGGACTTAGGTGTTATTCTTTTGTACCCAGTAAATTCACGCCATATCCCACCCTTTAAATCGAAACACAGCCATGCAAACACAACTGCTTCACGATTGAAACACGAATGGGACAGAGGTACCCAAGCAATCGACTTTTGTACAAAGTCTCCCTATGGTTCTTCTCATGGTTGTCATTCCTAAAGACTACTTTGTACCTGTGATTTTACTGCTATTTCTCGCTCTTCAAATCAAAATTCAGCCATGCAATAACAGTTGCTACATGGCAGAAACACAGGTAGGATACAGGTAGCTTTGCGGACAGCTTCTGTATAAAGTTACCGTCTGGTAATTAATATATAAAAAGACTTTAAACAAGTACGCAAAGGATAATACCAGGTTCAGGATAAAACATTCTAATATACCCTGACAGGAAATTACTTTGTTAGGTTGACCTCCTCACAATCCCCTTGGAAACTATCGTGCCTAATTCTAAGTGAATTCGTCACGATAAGTTAACCGACCTATTTTTTTATCTTCACCTGTCATCCTTTACTGATACTTCTAAGATGATATTTCTAAGATTATATAAATAGAGTGTCTCCATAGAAATGCTTCGAGAAAAACGGGTCAACATTTTCATACAATTTTGCGTAATAAATAGTTATAAATGATTCCTTTTTAACTTCTATATTTATTTTATCTCATAATTTCTGCATATTTTAATGCGCAAACACTCATTTTATTTATTAAATAATACGTCAAGATACATTTTATGCATAAGTATATAGAATACCAATAAAAAAAAAAAAAACGAGTCAGTTAACATTTGACAATTAGCTGACAAAATGTTAACTCGCTTTTGAGGCTTGATGCTCTATCTATATAATTTAAGACTATTGAATGAAATATCATTCATTCTTAGAAAAAAAATCCCTGGCAGTAGATTATCTTATCTTATCTTAATGGTAATTAACTTCACTTTTACACCATTACAATTAAGACATAGTGATATTGATTAGAGAAAAATGACAAATGATAAACACTACGTGCTCACCAACAATTATAGCACATTTAGGAAACGCCGATGGCTCTTTTGTATAATTTATTTCTACGACACTCGCCTCG